GTCGGTGCTCTTTTTAACAGTTCCAAGGGCAAGGACTAAAATGGGGGAAATAATAATTTTCCTATCATGCTCCTTGGCCCTGGAATGAATTACAAACGATTTTAAAACCTGAGAAAAGGGTATGATTGTCTAATTTCAAAGCGCTGATAGAATAAAATGTCATTGACCATTGTCATTGTTTTTAATGTTTCGTATTGTGTCCGTATGTGTGGTGATTTATTTTTGCTGACGTCTTGCCAGGTCCCCCTCGCAAAAGAGGTTTTTAACCTCGAGGGTTTTTTTTTTTACCTGGTTAAATGAAGGTGAAATAAAAATTCCTACTTGTGTGATGATTGTCAAGGGATTTTTCTCGAGTGTGATGTCTATAGTGGAGTTAAAGTATCACTGTAAAATTATATTCAAGAGCATTCGTTTGTCTGCCTGTCATGTGAAGAGTACCGACATGAAATTTGTAGTCCGGTTCAGGTCTTCTTCGAAAAACAGAAACTATGTTTAAATTGTTAACATAGCATTCAAATAAATAGATTAATAATTGTACACTGTGCATCATTAAATTGAGACCACAGGAATTGAAAAAGATGCTTTGCCATTAAGGAAGCAAAGTTAAACATTTAGTCAGAGATCAGCCCACAGCGCTTGTTTACTGTATTTATAAGTCAGGGAATCTTTTGGAACGGCAGTGTGAATAATTAAGAGGCGCAGGTTCAAGTTGTGAATTCTAAACTGACCAGCTCGGAGGAAAATCCCCAGCAAATTGCGGCTCTGATCCGAGCGCTGAGAGATGCACAGGTTAGGTTTCTGAAATTTCATCTCCGATGTGGCAGTGTGCCCCTTTTTTTTCTTTCCATGGAGAGATGCCGATCTCACAGGGGATGATTGTGCTGCATTTGGGCACTGCTTGCTCCACCAGGATGACTTTAATTACCTTACCGGAATTACTCAACTGTGTTCTGCCGTGCTTACCGAGAGATTGCTGTGATCCCTGTGCGAGTGCATGCGTGTACCACCCGCATGCATCATTCTCACGGTTTGCGAAACAGCAACTACATATTTCCTGCCTGTTGTCCCGAGTACCCTCCATCCTATCTCTCCTGGCATCCTGCCCATTTTTTTACTGTCCTTCCGAACGTGCTATATTTGAGTTTATTTCTTCAACATTTAGTTTGAAATTGGTGACTGCTCTTAAATCGATTGTGAAAGCATGTGCGGCCTCATTGTGTTGTGTTTTATTTTACCGACCCAACACGCGGCTGTAGCGCCGTACTATTAGCGATCACCTGTCCTAAAATTCGTTAAGTGCCAAGGAGGACCCGATAAATCACCGTCTTTCTCGTGTGTCCTAAGTGCCGTTTCCACTATCTTCCTCCCTGCCTTTTGTTTAATTATTTTTTCTCAGAATCGGATGGTGTATTGGCAGAATAACCAGCTTCCTCTATTGCAAGACTAGTGAAATGGAAAGTGCCTGCAAAAAATATTGATTGCATTTATTATTGAATCACAGAACTTTGCAAGGAAGAGGGATGCCTCTGGCATGTTGTCTTGGTCTTCTTTAGTTTCCACACAGCATGACATGCTGTATATATTGAGTTTAACTCAAGTGATTCTTAGGAGGCAGCAGACGTTTGGAACAGAAAGTGGCACGCATACTGGAAGGGTGGGATCCAATCACAAAGTCTTGCCTTGCAAACAGAGCAGCAATGGGACTTGAACGCCACTAAATAGGAAGCAGATTTTATCCAATGCACAGTAGTACCCAGTTTGTGTACATGTCAAAAACTATGGATATTCACTGGGTGTTGCTTGCCCTATGAAGGGCACTATTGGAAAAGTGTAATTACAGTTTATTTTCAGATGGCAACATTGTATTTACCTAAAGATGTTCACATTCATAGAGGCTCTGCTGCTTGTAATATTGTACAATATGAACATTTTATGTTTGTACTTTATTTGCAATTTGAGATCATACACATTGAATTACATGTAAAAAGAAAACCATTAACATGAACCCCTTTATTATTGGTTATACTATAAAAGTATTGCCGTTATTACATCACTGTTTTTTGCTGCCATTCTTGGTGTTGCTTTAAAGTGTGCTGCTTTCCTGTAGCTTGCCTCCATTGGAACTCTCATGTAAACTAAACATTGTCTAATTGAACACTCGTGGGGTGGTTGGATGTTAAATAAGTAAATAGCTGTCAACGTGGTCACCAAGCGGTGAGTACTTTGGTTGCATTCGGGGTAAAGCGAGCAGAGCCAGGCGTGCTTTTACGGGATGGAATGGCAGAACCCAGCACTTGCACACCAGCTATCATCTTCACCAGCATCAGCCATGATCTGGTCACTGCTGGATACAGACCTCCCCCAAGCCATCTCTATCTCTCACAGTCCTAAGATGCATCAGTCCATCGCGTTTTTTGTGAAATTTACAAAATGAGTTATTGTAAAAAAAAGTTATGGAAATTAACTATGGGAAATGTTTTAGAAGTACCAAGTTGAGAAGGCTGCAAAGTGGGGCTCGATAAATATGAGCGAAACAAGAGTCATGTACAGCACCTCCTAATAGCACATTTGTCTACTTATGTTGCGAAATAAGTTCAACATGAACCTTGTGGCGGGACCCCGGGGTCCCAAATAAACGGAAGTCAAAATCGTAATTGATTAATTTTTGGCGACTCCGTCCCACCGCACACGTTAACGCCGCGACCCACCTGGTGCGGATCATTCTGTTGTCATGTGGTCCAAGCGCAGCAAGGATGATTGCACAGAAGAAGCAAAACTTTTAAAACTTTGATTAGCGCATCGTGTAGAGCTCGTCAAGAGGAATAGATTGCCGTATCATTCGCCTTCAGACAAAATGACGTCACAACGCAGTTTATGCGAGAGCCGGGGGCTTATGGGACCCCGGGGTCCCGCCATAAGGTTCATATATACATACAGCAAATGTGCTATAGAATGGAAGAGATCTGTTGACGGGACACAATTGGCATCCAGATCAGATTGCAAAGATGTATTGGAGAGGTGCATGCTTGGAATGTTACACAGAGAGATGGTGAGAGGAACACATTTATTAGAGCATGCAGGTTTACATACGTCATTCATTAGGGGACTTCGGCCCGGCATGTTGCACACTGTCCATAGCACAATTGAGAACAAGGCGCAAAGCCAGTCAATAACGGGATGTTTGTCTCTACATGCTCACCATGTTTGCAGGAGGAAAAAGGAAAGCACACCTATCAATGGATGCCCACATTAGGTTCATGAACTTACACCCATGTGTTCATGTTATAATGTGCAAGTGCTAATCGTGTTAGTATGTAGCATAGTGCAACATAAATGGACATAAACATGATTCTTTTCAACTACTTTAGCCAATTTTATCCAAAAACTATAGATTATGGTATTTCAATGTTAGAAGCCATGTGGTAAGTTCTGTAGCATTTAGCGTCGAGCTTTTGCAATGATTATTTAAATGTGAGGCGTCGATCGATGGACAAACGAACATAATATGTCCTGATCATAGCAAATGGTAGCTCATCAGCTGCCTTAATGACAACTCTGTTGATGCAGCATAGTGTGCAGGAAAATACACTTACCATTTAGAGACCTTTCATACGAGAATACAGTATACACATGCATCATCTCAATATCTTTCAAAAGATTTAAGACAATAAATAGTAGAAATATACCAGTAGTCCAATAAAAAGAGCCTTTGATTTGTATCCCATGGGGCTCAGTATCTGGTCCAAGTGCAAAGGAATGTGGCGTGAAAGATTTCAGAGTGACTGATCACACTGTGGCCTGGCCAGCGCAGACAATCATTAATGGGTGCTGGGCGTCGCCAGTGGGATGCCTTATGCTCGGTTAGTTGACTATTACCGACACTGCAGTTCTGAACGCTGCTTCGTTTTGAGTGACCTGGTGACCTGGTGGTGTGTCGGCAGCACCCGTACGAGGAGATTTCACAGTGTTCCCTGCTGCTAAATGTGGTACATCACAAACCAATGTAAAAATTTGATTTGTAGACATCTTCAAGTCTATATTTAATGTAACAGATATGAAATGTTTTGGCGGTGTCTGATAATACAATTCTTCGTGCAAAACTCAGTGAATGATTATGTTTTATAATAAAGTGAGGAACCCCATGGACAATCCACCATTTTAGTAAGTTCTGCACACCGTGTCAGTCGTGGGGGGTTGTTTGACCGTACTTCAACACTGCTTTGTAAAGCTTGGTGACGGGCGGTCACAGGACCGGTTTAGACATCGCTCGCCGATGACACAAGTCGTGGCCGGGATTAGAACCAGTGTCACGAGGTTTAATAGTGTGGTGAGATAACCCCTACACCACCATTGCACCCCGTTTTTGTATATAGATGACAGTTCTGCAACCAGGTGAGAGCCTACTAATGCCAAAGGTCTGTTTTGAAAATGAAACTTGGAGTAAAATACAGGCTATATAAACAAAACCTAACAATTTTCCAAATGGTATATATATTTTTAGTTTTCTCAATTATATTGTAACAGTGAATATTGACATCACGCCAGGAGGTGAAGAAACTTCTGTTCAGCACACTTGCAGGCACCAGTGCATCTTACCATTTTCGGGAGCAGCCTCTGTAATTGCCTGTCTAGTGATGAGAGATATCTTATGCCATCGTTTCAGTTGTCTTTTACCCATGTGTCGTGTTGACCATGGAGATACACACTTGAACTTGAAGGCAACAGGTTTATGTAAACTGGTTCTACTGCTAGGTGATAGCTCCACGGTTAACTATGTGAGCAGCGGGTTGACTACACGAATGGGTCAGCCAGCATACACGCTGCCTGACCCACGATGCCGAGCGAAGACCGAAGAGACGTAGCACCCAGGGTTGATTCCACAGACGCGCCTCAACTGCTCTCGGGGCTTCCCCTTTATACCCCCCCCCCCCCCCCCCCCGAGCGCGGCCTCGCTCCGCCTTCGGCCACGTCCCCTTCTGGATCTTTCCAGAAGGCTCTCGGCTCCACGTCACGTGTCCCTCGAACCCCCTTGCTACCCTGCCTCGGTCACGTGCCCTCTCGGTTTCACATGGAGTAGCACGTCCTCACTTGCTCTCCTCCAACCCTCACCAGAACCATGCCCCCTATGGCCAGCTTCCATGTCAACCTATGGTCCTGTGGCAGAGGACTCCCGACGTGCATTTCCACTCCTTGCGAAAGTAGGTGGCGCTAAGTGCCATAGTGACACCAATAACATCACTACACATGTTAGGGGGTGCTTGCCATGTGATAGTGAAGCTTGTTACATGATAGCATCTTCATGAGCCATGATCTGTCTGCTCCTGGGTCAAGGTCTCCCCATCTTATTGGTCTCGGTCTCAAGATTCCAGTCTTGTTCTTGGGCATGGGCTCCATCTTCTCAGTGGTCGTCCATTTAGGAATGTTCCCGTATGACAATCCAAAACATAATATCGAGTTGAATGTACGCAGAATTAACGTGAAAACTAAAAATAATAACGATGTTGGTTCTTGTGCAGTCCTTGGTGACCAAACTGAGACCATATAAGCCAGCTACACTTGAGAACCCAGTTTAATCATGGGTTGTTGCCCAGGTTAGAAACCAGAATTTCACCAGTATCTGACCATCTTATGCAAAAAGATAAACACCTAAAAAAAATAACAAACAAACTGAAAAGAAGGCTTTATTTTAATTATTTTGTGACATTTTCACTGTCTGGACTGTTTGGTCAATTTCGACTGGAAAAGCATGTTATGAAATGAACTGTTACTAGAAGACGTTTACACTTACTGTAGTCTGACATTCTCATACATCATACCAAACCCACAGTTGTGTACATGGCAAGCACAGACATGGAGGCTGAAGACTGTGTCTTGCGGTCTCAGATTCATACAACGCCGTCTGCCAAAGTTGGCATCCTCAGTGGATTGCAATGTGCGTTGAAACTACACATTTCCTGTTAAGACAGTTTTCGTCGGCATCTGAGATCGCCGTGTGCTTCTGCCGTAAGGCGTCATGTCACACTTGCTCACACCCACATCATCCCACTCTCCATCTCGCTTCTTCTGCAGTGCTTTCATTCCCCTTTTAGCCACAGACATGCACGTTTACGAGTGGAAATCAAAGGGTTTTGAAAACTGGACTAATTCTAGTCCAGAGATGGTGGGTATGGCATCAAATGATTGGCATCATTTGCGTGGAGAAGGATAGTGTGTTGAGGACATTCTGGAGCAGGTTCAGAAGGAGAGATGTCGAATTAGAACAATCCAGAAAAGGTAAAGTATGCGAGTTGGATTCATTCTCAAAAATCAAAGCTCCATGAAGGAAGGATGTTGTTAAAGAGGCCAAGGGGTAGAAAATGAAGGATGCTGTTTGACACCTTGAAGGGAGGGGGGGGGGTTATACGGTGAATTGAGAAGGCGAGAGATAGTACAGCATGGAGGGAGCTTGAGTCAAGCACCTGCTTTTGGGCAGAGGACCAAAGACACCCACAGAGAGAAATCGAATTGCATGTGAAAAGTATACCTGTAAAGTAATCGGATTCAGAAAATTTACTTTGGTTATAAAAGTTACCAATTAATTCAACTGTAGCGGTGGTGCAAGACAGATGATGACACACTTTGTTGAAGACTCATTTTCTGACCCGTCCCTATTGGACATCTATGAAAAAGAGCTTCATAGCTCATCTGATTTCTCCAGGATAAATACATATTTTGATTCTGCCAGCTAACCTAGCGGAGCAGCTGTCTGAGGACATCACATTATGCAAATGATGAAGCTACTGCCTGGCTCCTCGGCACAAATACACGCACTAAATAAAAATAACAATATCCTCTTTCATTTTTGCATTGCAAGGTGTGTGTTGAATATTAATGTTAAAACATGCATATCAAACTGCTGCAAGGCATTATCTGGCACACATGATGTAAATAGAGAACGTATTAGCATTATTATCGAGGCACATTTGGTGTGCTTTTAGCTTTACTTCATGGTGATAACAATATAGATCATGGGCCGTTTTTGCTCTGTTCTTGTGGTTCATTCTGACCGGACATTGTGTCTATTGTGTGTTCCTGTGGGACGCGTCCATTGTGATGTTTCAAACCTTGTTAGCCCCTGCGTTGCTTCTGTAATGAGATTCCGTGACATGCCGCTAAAGCGTTAGCGGGCAGCCGGCGCCTGCAAAAACTTGCCAGCCGTGTTGTTTTGTCGCGTTCATTGTGTGCGAATGCACGTGTTAATTCACCTTCGTTGCGTGTGCCATCTGTTATTCTTTTATCTTCTCTATGTTCATGCACCCAGTGTTATATCAATCCATCAGTGCGTTCATTTCCAGGCGTTTCGCTGTACAGGCCTTGCTGTGATGAAACGCCTCATTTTTCAGTGCGGTCATCTTGCTTTCCGGTGTAATGTAATTTGAGCGCACCTAATAACGTTCGACAAAATTGCTCAAAACTAATTTCGGGTAATTTCGTGTTATTCCAGCGGTATTGTGATATTTGGGCAGCAGTGTGTTTTGAGGCATTTCTCAATCACTATTTGAAACATCCCTGCGGTTATTCAGAAGCTGAAGAGACGGGTATAATTGTCTGTGCTAGCTTAGAGGTCAAATTCAAGCTTTTGATAATAAAAAAAGCACTTGCCAAGTTGTATGTATAGTGGCACAGGAGATTTGTTGTTATAAGGGGGTGGAGTTATTGGGGTTGGTGTTACACGTCACTGGCGTGGGAAATTATTTAATATGTTTTTGCACTTTATCTTGAAGCCTTTAAATTGGGAACGTTTTTTGCGAAGGCTCTAGAAATGTGAGCCAGAATCCGTTAGCAAGCTTATACCTGTGCCCTGGTCTCCGGCTAGCAGTACCTGCCCTTCGGCTTCTCGTGTGGTGCAGGGTTGCAGCAGACAGCCGGGGGTTGTCTGTGTCTAGGGAAAGCGTTTAATGTTTAAATAAGGGTAAGGTTACCACTTTCATTTTTTATCTCTTCTTTTTTTACAGCACTCGCTCATCTGCCCTCCATAGTTTGTGAGTCGCACAGCCAGTTTAATATATTTTGTTATGAACCGGGGCTATCTGCTTGCTTATTGTTTGCCATAGATTCCGTGCTCAGTTATTATATTAGCATTCAGGATGTACTTAGTAGCCCTGCTTTTAAAAGAACGTTGGACACATTGCATTTGTTTATTAGCATACGAAATTTAGTTTGCTGTTTAGCTGCCTGTGTTGGTCGTCTTGATGATAGGCACCAGTCTGTTGTGCATTCAGGAAAAAGATAGCCACGATGCAAAGTGCTTCAAGATATGTGAATCATGTACAATGCGCAAGAAAATATGTTTCAAGATAATCGGTTTAATAGGAAAGTTAAATTAGATGTAAACTCAAGTCTTTTTAATGCAGTTTTGAACAATGGGCATCCATTTTTACTAGGAACATCTATGAAACTTTGTGTACATTCATTCACTTAGCAAATGCAGCAGCCATATAGAGCTTTGAGATTAAAGCGTGTAATGTGATTATAAAGTAGGCCATTAGTATTATTGATCTTTTGGACTACGCTTCATTAATCTAATGCCCACGGTATCTCATTATAAACTAGCTGCTATCACACAAATTGAGTTACTATGTGCAAATAGCTTTCCGAAAAGAATTAGTTGGCTGATCAACTAAATAAATAAGCATATAAATACGTAAATAAACATCATCGCTGTGATTACATTCACAACAACAATCCATTTAAATTCACAACACTCCTTTTCAGTTAACTTCTATAAAAATGCTGCACTTAGGCATGGATAACAGCAGCGACTTTAATTAAAAAGCATTTGCCACCTGCCTGGAACAATGTTCATTAAAATAATTTTACGTTTGATTTACATTTCTTAACGCATAGTCTGCATGGCTGGAGTTTTTCTTGATTTATCTCTCTGTCGCTTACAGTCAGGACATTATTATTATTCGGGATTGATTTTTTCTCCACCTCACAAGATAACTGATGAAGCACGTTTCCTCGATAAGATTTACTTTAAAACGTCAGCAAAACAGCACCACTGCCTGGTTATATAACGGCAAAAAGCAAGTGCTCGGAATAAATACCCGCACGGGCTCGATTAGATCATGGCAGGAGACACCACACGGGCTTAGTACAGCACAGTTACAATGAATATGAAAAGGCCGTCTCGTTAATTCATTTGTAAGCTCCACACTCCGCAGTGATTGCTTGTGATGAAGGGAGTGTGTTCAGTTCCCATTGAGCTTAGAAAGGCCATTGACAAGTGCTGCAGTTTCTGTTGCGCGTTACGAGCGCAGTTGTCTTGCCCCTAAATGCCTGTGTGCATCGGTGCATTGTTGTTAGCAACCACTGACCGCTTCGAGTCCAGTGTGTGCCCGCTTGGTGACCAGGCGAATTATTACATTTAGTGTATTTTTTTGAGGGTGTGCAAATAAAGTGCATTTTAAGACGTTGCGCATGCTTTTCTTTAGCCCCGTGAAACAACGGTGATTTCCTGCAGAAATGAGCACTGTGGCAGTGCTCATCTGAGTTTTTACAGCCCTGAAACCGCTGCTGTAAATTCCATGTTCCAATGGCCAGGGGTGAGTATGTCCATAGGACAACCGCTGTGAACGTCCCCACGAAGTCGTACTCGTTTTATCACTCCCGGTTGGAATGATGAGACAGCAATAACTGTCGTATACCTTTCCTCATCAGGCCTTCCAGTGTAATGTACGTTTTAGGGAGTGTTGAAAATCGAAAATGCAACACGTTGAATGGTGACATTGTCTGGGCAGATCATGCTACGGTGCATTTAAATTTACGGCATACCATGCGCACAGTGTTATTTAACCCTTATTGTTGCTGCTGTAGAAATATATATGTTCCGTATTTAGAAGCACGTGTCGAATGAAAAGCATAGCAAACATTTTTTTTAAAAGCTGTTTTTACGGAGCGTTCTTGTTTTTGGTCACGTTAAATGGTGTGCAGATTACCACTGCACAAACCAACATTTTCCAGCGTGCACACAGCTCCCACGGGGCCAAGCGCAGGTCTGAGCAGGTCTCTGCAGTGCGCATTGAGACACATGTGGGAGGCTAAGCTAGCTCTGGTTTCCACGGCTTTCCGCCCTCTCTTGTGATATTGGAATGTTCTATATTTATACTTGCAGGCATGAGCACTATATAGCATACAGACTGATATGGCATAACTCTAAAACCCTTTTTTGTATCAAAGTGAAAGGTCACAAAAACATTGCGTGCAAGACAAACGGCAGATAAATGTCTGTAATTTGCTTCTAAATTTGAAGTGGCATGCAATCTACTCGATACTCTTCTGGTCGGTGTCACGAGTTATAGCTTTGGACAAGTTAATAGTCATTGATATGCTTTTAACATCCACTTAGTTTATTACCAAACATATCGGTCTTGTTGATAGGCACAAGAGTAGGTCCCACTGCATTCAATGTTCGCCTGGTTTTGCGATGCGTAGTTTACACAATGCCCGCTGCAAGAAAGCATTGTCCCTCTACCCATTGTGGAAAGTCAACTTGCTCCGCAGTGCATGGTCTTTGTAAGAACGGTTGTAACCTCCTGGGGTGTTTGCTAAGAGGCACTGAAGACGTGTGCTGGTTCAACGGATTCGAGATTCAAACAATTGTTTCCAATATTTCTGCCTGCACTGCTGAAATACACGGCTGCATTTCAGCATCTTTCCAGTTGGTGCCAAATGCATGGAAGTAGCTCGCATTTGTTATCTCCTCTTAACATACATTCTGACTCCAAATGATTGCAGGCAACTGTTTGTAGAAAATAATTTTCAAGGGTTCGCATTGAAAGCATTCAGTACAGTATCTACTCAGGGTGGTCTGATGCATCCATTCATTGATCGAAATAAATATCTTAAGCACACGATACATGCACCGAATTGTGCGTGTAATAATTGATTTATTACACAGTAGGTTCACTTGACCCCTGCAGTCACTAGAGGCGCTAATATCCACCAAAGCATTGAAAAAAACATCCTGAATCGCAGCAATTCAAACCAAATTTACAAGTACAATTTTTAATTTGGTGGTTTAATGTTGTTACATTAGACCAAGTTTCCTTACAGTTTTGTCACTGTTGTGTAATAGACTTTTACGTTTTTAACACTAGATAGAACACATGTCAGCCATTATTTGAACTTCCTTGCTGATACCTTACAAAGCTTTGCACCCACACGGCCTTGTATGTATGTACGTTGAACTTCTTACGTGTCGTACGTAGCCAACCGTTCTCATCGGAGATGCGGGGAAGGCCTTGTGAGGACTTGCTTTATTTTCACTGAACTCACTTTGCTGATATGTGAGAAACAACAAGCCTTAACTAGTTTCATTTGAATTGGTTTGGCCTTTAAGCTTAATAAGGATTATACATTTCAATTTCTAGGGATTTTTTTACAATGTCCATATTGACGCACATGGCATTGCAATACGCTAAAATCCCACCTCATTTGAACTCGTTAAATTCCTTAATTTATAGCCACTGATATATTTTTCTATACACAATTGTGGCAGCCTAGCCTGCCTTTCCCCGTAAAAAATTACCCCCGCCCGGAGAAATGCTCAGCTGTCTCTTCAGACTCCTTTGCCCTAGTTTAGATATTAGCCGTGAATAATTGATAAGAAATATGGTTCATATTTCCCTACTCGTCTGCTGTTGAATAAAACAAATCCCATTCTCAGCACGACTGTGGTTGTAGACGGTGGTGCTGCTCCGCTTGACAGGAGGTGTCTCGCACATGAAACTGCTTCATCCTCCCTTGGGGGTGGTCGCAGCGTCGCGGGCGGAGACATGCGTACGTGGCACGGGCGGCCGGCACATCCCCGTGTTTGTTGCTGATTAAACACAGGCTCCCCGACCACTTGTGCCCTGCGGATTACAGGGGGCGGCCATCCGCGTGCACGCGCGTACACGCGCGTTCACGCCCGTGCACGCGCGCTCGGACCCGTGCACACGCCCCTTTGCTGTTGGGCTGAGCGTCGCGGCGCCCTGGGCTCGCCGTGATCCGGGCGTCACGTCAGCATAGCGCCGGGGCCGGTTCCACAGCTTGTTCACTCGCACACAGCCACTCGCACTGTGCGTTTCTCTCGTCGTGTGCGTGAGCACGCGCACAGCCAGCCTTGCCACCGGACCATGTAAGTATGTATAAAGTGGTTTATTATTGTGTGATGTTTCGACTGAACTTTTAGTTCTTTTCCAGAAAAATAGCTGAATTGAAGACTCGTGTTCACATGCAGCTGGGGTAAAATGAAAGGAACCTTTAAGTTGTTGGGTAGAGTAAAGAGCATGTTTTTATTGGGATGGCAACATTTTTCACGTAGACAATGCCATAAAAACAGGTAGTTAATATTTTATAATGTGGCTGATATTTACAGTGTTTTAAAAATATAAATGTACATTTTGTATTTTTCTCTTGATGATTTTTGCTATTTTTGAAACCAGTTCTCTGCTGACTTATTATTTTCATTTTGAGGACATATAGTGTTTAGTGCATACAGTGGATATCTGATATTCAAAGCAAGTAATCTTTTTAATTTTAATGAATGTAAGAAGGCTTGTAAGGAATAGATTTTTATCTTTGAAAATATTGAAGTGAAAGCGATTGAAACAGATGGTGATAATAAAGATCAGCTACATTCATTCCACAACGAGGATTATATTTAGAGTGCATATGTGTAATGCGTAGGCGTCGGATATGAAAGATGGGTGACTTTTCAGATAAACAAAAGTAACTTACAATATCAATCCTCCAAAGAGCTGTGGATAAAGGGAAAAAATAATACATCAATCTGAGTTAGATGGCAGATGAGCAAGTTATTTAATTATGCTTTGAATGATGCGGCTTTCTTGAACAAATTCCCGAATGTGTCTACTTATGGTTTATATCCAGAATAATACTAAAAAAATTGAAACAGGCATCTCGAATATGAAATGAGAAGGTAAACTTTGAATAGTGAACAAAACAAGAACTTGTTTCACTCGCATTGCTATGATATGCGCTAATGGGTGAGGGCAGGGCTCATTGTACCAAGAGATGACATCTTCATTCAAGACTGCTGCTGGAATGACAGCCAAGAGAGGTGACACGTATAAAGGAACAACTGAAGTGGATATGCGATGATGAATTTGGGACACGTGTTGAAAGCCTCTGCACACACCTCTCGCCAATGATGTCGGCACAGCAAGGCACACACTGGAGTGTGGATTGAAAATCGCTGCCTATTTGTTTTTAAATATACAAAAGTCCATGAAAGACATTGCTTTGATGTTGCAATGTATTTTAATGTTAGTTTTTTTTAACCCAAATTTGATCTTTATTGTATTGGCAATATAACGTCATGAGACTAATAATGATGAATGAGGATCTCTCGCAGAGCGATACAGCCCTCGAGTACAGAACACCTATATAAGCAGATAATAAATAACTAATTCTGAGATCCCCATAAGTGGTCTTCACAGTAAGGGGAAATCCTTACCCACCCACCCACCCTGTTACAAAGTGTAATGTTGGTTCCATGACAGTAAAACCCACGTGTTTATTTCTCAGAGCTGGAATGTATCCTTACGTATGTATTTTGAACGTCTTTCGCACCATACGAAGCCAACCGTGCTAATCTTAGGTGTTGGGACAGGACAACAAACTAAACACAAAGCAGTTCTAAAGAAATTAGTTTTCAATTTCGATTTCAAAAATGCATAGCTCCAGTGGCTTCACTAATATTGGAAGGAAGAGCGTTGCAGACGGCCGTAGAAGCGCATCTGAAAGCACACGATGCGGTGACCACCGTCTTTGTCCCATGGGTTAGCTGAAATCCTATGCAAGGATGACCAGAGTTTGCGAGATGGTTTTGTGATCTTTGAAAAGACCAGCAAGATATAGTGTGGAAGCAATGTGATGCAATGGGATTTTTGGATAGTCATTGGGGAGCCGGACTGAGGTCAACTCTCTGCACTTGAGAACCCGGTCAAATCACAGCTTGTGGCCTGGTTTCAAACTCATGATCTCAGGGGTGCCAGCTCAATACTTTCCCCTCTGAAACCACCTGGCCACCTCTACAGTGATTGAATATCTACATGTGGTGGAGTGTTAAGAGAACATGGCTGTAATTTGACGAATGGCACAGAGAGAACTTTTACATCTTTGATTTTTTATTTATTATTATAATCGAGTTATTTTGTTGGTGTCTTAATAAACCTCTAGAGAACAGCCAGGAAGATGACATCACAAAACTGCTTTTAATAGTTACTCCAATCATCTTTGTTCACACTGAGCGTTACTACACCTTTTAACAACACTGCAGTAAATAGTGTTCATCGCACGTTAAACCAGTATTTTTTTATTTGAAGCTTTCGTGACTGCAGGAATCCATACTCTTTGGTTCTTTCGGTAAAGTCACGTAGGTATAAAATAAAATCAATCACGACGTTTCGGGCGCAACACAAGCGTGTTTTAAAACAGTCTGCCTCAGCAGCAGACCACGCTTTTATAACTGATGATGGACGCTTGTGTTGTGCCCAAAACGTCGTGATTTATTTTATTTTATACCTACGTGACTTTACCGAAAGAACCAAAGAGTACAGTGTTTTTCTTAATGATCAGAGCTGCTGTAAGCAAGAGAACCACCAGATCAACTGTTGTGTGCAGTTATTGCAACTGGGCTGAGATCATCTACTCGCGACACTTAATCGTAGGCACCTGGCCAGGATCTCAGTAGTGCTGACCACCTGGTGCTTTCATCCAAGTCAGTCGTCTGGCCATCTCGAGAACCTTTTCAAAATGTTTTTATAGACGACATTTGCACGAGTGGGGGCGACAGGTGATCCTGCACAGTGTGCACGCAATTACTGAGAGGGCATGCTCGATTCTTAAACTGGCGGTGCAATTATCACCATCTTGGAGTAAACTCCTAACTATTTTTATTGCCAGGTAAGGCCCACTCTTTTTTCAGAAAGCGACCTGGCCGCAAATGATAGCTCAACAAAATGGCTTGCCATGGGTACATTTATAGCAGCCAAATACTCCTAAATGCTCCTTTCTACATGTGGAGAGAAACACCGGAGGACACATCCACAGGGAGAGCACATGCAAACTTCAAATATACAGCAGGCATCAGGGTCCCATAGAGAAGACCTGCACTTAGCAGATATATTTCACGTGGCTTTTCTTAACAGAACAGCCGGTGATTTGGAACAACCACATGCTCGACATGACCCTGCACACCTCGATTGCTTTTAAACATATACCGCATCATCGCGGGATGCTCATATACGATTGATTTCTCACCCTTACACACAGGCTGATGCTGAGAGACGTATAGTTGATGAAAAATGCATCGTGTGCTCCTACATTTTTAGCGTCGAGCTCCGCCGGGCACACTGTATTTCCAGTAGTACAGGTAGCTAACCATCCACACAATTCCTATCCCAATTAACACTGGTGCGGTGCCCAGAACAGGAGGAGCCCAATTATCTAAAGTGCAAGGCTGAGTGTTGAACAAGGGGACCACCGGCCATGCTAACCTACCCGCTTAATCTTTAGAATGAGAACTTTAAGATAACATCGTTTTAAAAAAAAAACAATTAAAAGCCTTTTCATGGTATGTTTGTTATTGTTAGGGAGGTAGGTTGGAAGTAAGAAAATGTCAACACAATTAAATATTCAATTAGGTATTTCCTATATTTTAAATGATGTATAGCGCAGAAAGCAAGTGACTTCACGCATGCGAGTGTTTATATACACGTGCTTAAATTGTTGCTGCAGAAAACCACGCATGCTTACACACACTGTCTAAAACACCCAAAATAAGGCAAGCTTGAATCGACTTAAAAACCTAGTTATTGTAAGACCATTCACTTTATCGTTAGATATCTCTCTCACTCACTGGGCCAAATAATACCTGCACGTCACACTGATGTAGGATCATATTATTTGGTTCTTTCGGTAAAGTCACGTAGATAGAAGAAGAAAAATAATAATACAAATAAAGTGAATAAAAATAAAAAGTAATAAAAATAATAGGATCATTTGCGGAGAGCGATTCCCTATTTTTTTTAAAGCTTTTTAATGCTTGCAGTGTAGCCATCTGACTGTTTACTCTCTTAAAATGACTCGTCACTCCGAACCCAAGTGTGGTTTTATTACTGTAATCATACTCTTTGGTTCTTTCGGTGAAGTCACGTAGGTAGAGAAAAATGAATAGATCACAACGTTTCGATCGCAACACAAGCAACAAGCGACCGTCTTCAGGCGACGGTCGCTTGAAGCCGGTCGCTTGTTGCTTGTGTTGCGATCGAAACGTCACGTGATCTATTCATTTTTCTCTACCTACGTGACTTCACCGAAAGAACCAAAGAGTGTGGATTCCTGCAGTCAGGAAAGCTTCAAATCCATATTCACTAAAATCGCTTGTATGGGCAACTCCCCCCCCCACCCACCCACCCAGAAATAGTTTGTTTGAAGAATGGGCAAGTGTGAGGCTATTCATAACAATGAGTTATGCTTTTATAGTACGGTGGTTTGATTTCGGTGGCACCAAATATCCATTGGCTGGCTTCCAAGGGGCACCCTGCTTATTTTATGATTTCCTAAAGTAGTGCATTTGGGATGAATTCCCTCCGCTGAGTGAAAGTAAGCAGAGGAGGCAGTTTCATAAAGTTGGGGGCGATCCGCTTACCTATAGGGGTCAGGCTTGTGCTTGCGGGTTGTAGAATGGCATGTATGTTAAGTGATAGGTTTTTATTTTGACTCTGTAGTGGTATTGTTTATCCTTTTCATATTACGCAACTCTTTTTAAGTAGACTACGTAGGTTTTTTTTGCAGCCGACAATTCATAGGAGATTTGATCTCGGCCACGTAATAATTTGGCCAAATGTCTATGATAAGAGCATACACAACCCGACAGTCAAACACATTCAGTTGTCACGAGGTCTACAAGCATTTAGCACGGCACTTATTATTGTTTCAGCTAAACCGATACATTTAAGAAAAAATATCCCAACCAAATCTAGCAATTATAGACTGTACTCTTTGGTTCTTTCGGTAAAGTCACGTAGGTAGGAAAATAATAGGTCACGACGTTTCGATCGCAACACAAGCAATCGTCATCAGGTGGGACAACCACTGCAAGAAAAAACT